GACTGTAAAGCGCCAGGTCTGACACTGTTACGTCAGCGAGCCTTGGAGCGACTACGCACATGGCCAGACCATGAACTGTTGCACGTTAAACGGGACTGGAATGGAAGCGCCGACAGCCTAGCAAGTGCTGCTCTACAACGGCAATGCGGGATCGAACTGGATCTGTTGGAGGATCTGGATCCACAGCGTCTGGTGATCTGCGGTTACTCAAACCTAGTGATCCGACAAGTACGAGGTGAGATCGACTGTAAAGCGCCAGGTCTGACACTGTTACGTCAGCGAGCCTTGGAGCGACTACGCACATGGCCAGACCATGAACTGTTGCACGTTAAACGGGACTGGAATGGAAGCGCCGACAGCCTAGCAAGTGCTGCTCTACAACGGCAATGCGGGATCGAGATAGAGTCTGAGGCGGAGATCCAGGATCTCATAACTTTGAATCGGCTAGATGAGATCCTGATAGTGAAAGCCGAGGAAGAGATCGCACAGGTATCCGCGGTGACGACCCGGTCGAAGGCTAGACGTGGGATCTGATCCAGACTCCTTACGTGAGGAAATCGTGAGAGAGCTACGGATCGAACGGATCCGGCAAGCGCAGGACGAGGAGTCGTGGATCACGGGCTTGAAGAAGTATCTAACCGGGGAGATCCGGGATCTGACCCAGGAAGAGGCTAGATCGTTCGGATCCATTGCCATGAGTTACGAGGTGGATCAGCTGGATCTACTGTTCTATTGCCCGACATCCAAGGAAGCGGCCGCAGATCGGGATAAGCTGATGCGACTAGTGATACCCGAAACGCTTCAACAGGACATTCTACACCATTATCACACGAGTCTACAAGGCGGTCACCAAGGGGTTGGTCGCACCTATGACCGGATCCGTGATCACTTCCATTGGAGGGGTTTGTAGAAGAGTGTACAACGATATGTGGGGGAATGCGTCGACTCTGAGACAGGCAAGGGAAGACCTCGGATCCAAGGCGAGTCGCTGGGTAATCTTCAGGCAACGTACCCATTTCAGATCATTGCCATGGATCAAATACCCTCGCTGCCTAGATCCTTCAACGGCAACACCGAATTGCTGATTTTCGTGGATCTGTTTTCAGGATACGTGATCGCCAAAGCTTGTGCCTCCAGATCCGCTCAAACAATCGCCGAGACTTATGAAGAATATGTCTTTCGTCGGTTTGGCGCGAGCGAGGTGATCCGACATGATCGGGAGCCGGGCTTTATGTCTGACTTCTTTAAGTTGTTCAACAAGATCCTAGGGCAACGGCAACGAGCTACTACGGCATATAGGCCTCAAGCCAACGGATCCGCAGAACGCATGGTCCAGACCACTACCAGAGCTCTTAAGATGTACGTGGAGGATCTGGATCAGCGAGATTGGGATGAGTAAGCTGAACGACTCACCTTCGCGATCAACACCGCAAGGGATCGGATCCGAGGCGAAACACCTTTCTATATGATACATGGCTGGGATCCTAGATCCACTCTGGAAGCCGGGTGGGAAGCACTCGCAAGCACGATCGAGACCCCAGAAGGTGGCGGCAGAAATACTATCAGCAAGCCAGGGAACAGGTGAGCCAGCGCCTACGAGAAGCGATCGCGGATCGGGCCGATACACATAATGATCTAGCACGACCGCACTCTGTAGAGTCGGGATCAAGGGTCTGGCTATACCTAGATCGGGTGCGTGAAGGGTATGCAACAAAGCTGGCACACTTATGGCATGGACCTTTCGCGACGCCGAAAAGATCGGAAGCACGCTGTGAGGTTGGAGATAGCAGGATCCGACTACAGCATTTTTCCGGTGGTGCATGTATCGAAGATCAAACTTGTCAAAGCATTTCCAGATCGACCAGTAACTCGGCTGAACGGATCAGAAGGAGACCGAGTAGACTTCGATGAAGCTCTCCTACCTGAAGATAGCTGGATCCAAGATCGGATCTGGACGAGTATGAAGTGGAGCAAATTTCCGACATGAGAACTGGCAAGAGGACGAGATATGGCCGGATCTACAGGGAATTCCTGGTACATTGGCGTGGATGTGAAGATCCGACTTGGATAGACGAAGCAGATCTCAACTGCGGTGCTTTTACGTATGAATTCTTGCGAGATCGTACTAGTCGCAACCGTTTCGGTGTGATGCAATCTCACGAAGAACCGTGAGGTCGGGACCCACTCTGGTGAGCTGGTCGCCAGTGTGGCGGAATGTCGATGGATCTGCAAGGAGGTTGCAGATCGGAGAACAGAGGCTATGGGAATTCGTATATGACGATATGTTAACAGAGGATCGAAGTGGAGCAAGATTGTTTACGAAATGGTATGGAATGGGCAGGTTAATTTTCGATTGTGGATCTAAGAATGGATCACTGGAGAGATCATGGATCAGAGAGCAAATGGCACACGTGGAGATGTAGGTGAACTCAGATCTGGAAAAGAAATGACGTGTATTATGCTTAGCGTAAGTGATCTGAAGAGAATGACAGGAGAGGTGTCAGGATCATGGCTGGGGAGCAAGAGGTGGTGCGTTGGGGTTCAAGGCCGCCATATTGAAGAATTTGCCGACGAGACGTGCGATCCGACGAGCGGGATGGCCTGCATGGTCGAGTCAGTAGTGAGTGCGCCACTAATCTGCCGCGTCGCATTCGGCGAGAGCCTCGATCAGGTCAGCAGGCTCACGACGTTTCAGCTGCGGATCTGCAATGTTGGCGCTTCAGGCCTCGATCCCGGGATACCAAGCCACCTCGTCGGTGCGCTTGGGGA